GCGTACCGGCTCGTTTATGTTCGTGCAGTTTGTTTTAGACTTTTATGTTTCAAAAAATCCTCAGAAATTCTCCGATACTCTTCCAAGCCTGTACGATATCATCCAACAGTTTTTCACGCTAGATGTTACCGTAATTCTTTTTTAAACGAAGGAAAATTAAAAAGTGGAAAGTTATGCAGATGAAGTTTTCTCTTCACTTAGTACATACGACTTCTTCTCGTTTTTGTTTGTCCTCCTCTTCCATATATATGTCGTATTTCTGTGTTAATCCTCTATCTAGATCCTCGGATAATTGGCCAAAAACTATTTTCACCAAAGAGGAGGAAGATATTTTTACAAAATGTAAGATTCTGCGACAATAGGTACGTGTAAACTGCATAAACAGCTATAATATCAGGTTGTCCGAGAAGTATCTTTCTTTCTCAAACGTGTTTATCACAACAGTGCACCCTCGTAGAAACGTGAAGAAACCAAGTCTGTGAAACGTCGCGGTGTTTGTCTCAACACGGCAACGTAACTCGAAAAAATAATATAAAACATTGTGCGTCTAGTATTTCCTCGTGAAACGAAAGAAATTTTTCGGACAACCTGCTGTACATTCGCCACGAAGGAATTTGGCACATGGCCTAATTCCTAGATAAATGACTAACACGACGTGCTGAGTAATCGTTATGAGAATAATCGTTCGGTGAGAGTCGTCACTGTATACAAAAACGAAAGGCTAGAGATAGAACTCGTCTCTTATTGAATGGAATATAGGTTTGCAAGTTCGATAACGATGAAAACGAATTTCTGCCGGGTGTCGACGATCCTGCACTATTTTCCTGTCTCGTCTCTCGATAACTGTATCACGAAAGATCTACATTAGAGGCAGGACAGCCTGGTGGATCTGGCGTGCATTCACGACAGCTCTGTAGGCTGGAATAAAAGCAAAAGAAACAAAAAGGCAGAGGAAAAGCAGCTGCTGTTCGGCCTGTTCCTTTTGTAGATTACTCGCGTGGTATCAGACACGTAGGAAATAAGATGTCGAGCGGCTGGCATGACGTCACCGGGGCCTTCTCACCCTCCCGCCAAGATCTCCACCATTTTTCTACCTTTTACACCATCGAGACCCTCGTAGTACGTTTTGCTACCAGCCAAACGCTTCACGGACGTTACGAGGCAACCTCGTGCAAGCTTACGTATTCGTGGCTCTTCTTCCAGTCTTGTGGACCAACGAGGATCGAGGAAAGCGCGTAACACGTTATATTATAAAGAGAAAACTGCTGGAAGAAATGGTAACTCGCTGGCTACCAAGTACTACGCGCAGCTAAAACCTCCCTTCTGCACGAATATTTAATAATAATAATATCCTAGCGAATAAATTTATTTCTCGCAATTTCTCAATTTTACGTCCAATGGGATAGTTAAATAATTTCCAACTTGTCCAATTAATACGATAACTTGAAATTCGATGATTTCGTTTCTGGGATTGTCAAAGTTGTTACCACTTGTACAAGACTATCCAGTGTACTCGCTCATTCGGACGACACAATTGGTAAATATAATCGATTCGGTGAATAATTATTGGTGTATCTAAACATTTCTATGAAACTAAAGCGCGCTTAATCCATTTCGATCAAACGGACCTACGTTTCGTTTAGCCTTCCTTCCAGCTCTGTATGTTGGACCGATAGTCCTAAAATACGAAATTCCACGTCATTGGAGACGCTATCGATCGTCAAGATTGACGATCGTGTTGGCTCGTTCACTAATCTTTGACAATCGTGAGTACGAATAGCGGAGCGAGATATCTGCCGATAATCTAGACCCTTCGATTATCGAAGACGCGCAGGGAAAAAAGAAGTGGCCAGATAGTTACAATCTGTCACGTAAAAGCGATTATGTGTACGGAAAGGGATAAGACAGAGAAGGAGGGAGATATGTAGAAGGAAAGAGGAAACACGAGGATGGAGTAAAGAAACAAAGATGCAAAGAGGATAAGAAGTCGACCCCAACATGGCCGTCAAACGATAACGGCCCGCTGATAAGAGCCTACCCTCTCTTCAACGCTTTAATATCTCTCCCGCGCCTGCCTTTTTAATTATCTCTCCAGTGATAATGGGCGGCCTCCGTGGCTCGAGCTTTCGGCTGATAAATGTGAAGAGAAGGAGAGAAAGGGAGAACACCAAGACGAAGAGAAATCAAGAAACAGGAGGGAAGAACGAACTGGTTGTAGAGAGAAGAAACGTACGTACGTACGTACGTACGTAGATGGGAAAAGAAACTGGCGAGACGAACGAAGTAAAGAAAAATTCTTCCGGGACACGATGCTGTGGCACGCATGGATCGCGATGCGTACGAGAGAAAATGAAATTCGCCTGAAAATGAAATGCATTTGATAACTACCGGGACACGAAGCTCGCCCGCCTTTGATTTTTTCATGCCTCGATCGAAAGATCAAAGTTACGCGAGGAAATTTTAGTCAACGGGAAAGATGATTATCGGGAAAACCGGAGTCCGAGTTGCAAAGCCAATCTGCCGGAAAAAATAATCATCGAACCCTCAGGAATTTACCGATCGGCGAGCTTTAATTCCATCTTGTCGCGACTACCTCGTATCTAGATTCGACGTTAAAACTGAAAGAAGGTCGAGATCAGAGGAAAAAAAGGAGACTGGGTATCGTGAGCAGGATGACGAGACGTTACATAATCGAAGCGAGGTGGCTATCGGTGATTTATGATAAGGCGAGCGTCGATAGCAACACCGCAATTTTATCGTCCTATCGTCGGCTATCGTACATTTGGAAACATTCGATATCTGTCGAGCATGAAAGAGCCGTGGGAAAACCTTGCTCCGGAAAATTACCATGTATAGCCGCTCGTTGGTAATTGATGTCCGCCTAACAATTACCATGCTCGTAATTCTCTCTTTTCCTCGGTGAACAAGGGCCATTTACGTTCGAAAAACAATTGGCCACGCCGCGATAAATTTTCGTCTGTAACCGGTCGTGCTTTTAGAATTATGCCAATTTCTATGACAGCACGGAGGAGCCGGGAAATAATTGAAATCACAAATCGTCATGAGCGCGACGAGTGTAGGTACAGACCTGCTCTAATAAATTTCGAAAACAATTTCGTTGCGAACAGTGAAAGAGGAGAGGATGGTGGCAGACGTCGCTCACGGAAGGGGTGGATGAAGAAGGGTGGGGGAAGATGGCGGGAGGGAAAACAATTTCGTCCCGAAATTTCCATAAAGGCGAAACGAAGGAAATCCGCGCCTGCAGTCACCGTTAATTTTTCATCAGGCCTGCACTTAACTGCAGCTTAATTTCGTGTCTCGCGAGGATGATCGCACCGTCGCATCGAGTTTAAGCTAAAAGGACGACGAAAGGGGTGGATGGAAGAACGTTCGTCTGCAGGCTTAAAAGGTGTCGGGGCGACTTTTCGCCAAAGACCCCTGACTTTTCGAACCATTACTTTTTATTGGATCGTCCAGATCGGTCCCTTTTCCTTCGTCTCCAACCGTACGCTACCTCTGCCGATGTTCTAACCCTCTCCTTCGCTTTATCTTCGGCGATAAAGCGTTTTCGTTCTGCTCGTGTTCTTTTGCCCGTTGTGTTGCTCGATCGCGCGAAATTCTCGATGAAAAGGTGCTTCAGCGGTTTACTGCTGACGCGTCGAGGGAAAATGATCGAGATGACTGCGGCATACAGGCATTCAGGCGTGTACGAACCATCGATAGACTCGATGCATAAAGGAGAAGAGCTTTCGAATTTATGCGGATTTCTGTATAGCCAAAATTTGTCTCTTTCCCGAATATCCGATTAACGAACTAACTTATTTTTCACGAACGCGATTACCTTCATTACCTTCCGTATATAGAATATTCCACGTGTTCCATTATCATGTTCGTAGAAAAATCCAATACTTCCATAGTTGCAGAATATTAAATAACTGTATTGTATGGTGGTAACTAACACATTCACGATTCAGAGTCACCGATCGTAATAACGTCCGTAGTCAACCTCGAGCGAAATTTTACTCGCGAGCTACTGCGATTTTCCCATAGAATGTTGTGAATGTGCGAATTTTTCCCGAGAAATCTTTTGGACATTTCATTTAAAACCCGGTTGCGTAACGTTGTGGAAACTCTAACAAATATTTCAAAATAGTTTAGACCTTTTCAACGTGCAGAGCGGTAAAATAATTGGACGTGGATGTACAAGACCTAGCCTGCTTATGAAGGGTTTGAAAATGTATTTGCCCATGGAGGGTTAAGATTAGAACGAGCAACGTCGTTACGCGTGTAAATGTTCGTTCGCTGGCATCCTAAATCATGGTTAATGGCCGAAACGCGGGTACAAAAGTTTACCCGAGCATTCGTAAATATGATCTGTCAGTAGGCTGGACAGCTGGTCGAATTTTCCTCGAGTCGTGAGCGACGCGGCGTACCTCCAGGCTTGGGATATTACCTGATAGGGGAGAGATACGCAGCCGGGAACGGCATGATCTGTCAATCAATCGCGGAGGAATCGCGAAAAAAAGTGAAAAGTGCATGTGACGCGACAGCCATGTTGCGATTTTTCCGCGCGCGCCACGAGAGGCATTATTTCCAGCATCGGTTTTGTGCTTTCCGGCCATTGAACTATTCCATCTACACCCCGTTCCCCCGATTTATCCCCTGTTAGCCGGTCTCGCCCAGTTCTACCTTCGTCGTTCACTATTTTTCGAATCTCTATCTCGTCTGCCTTTCTTTTGAAAAAGTCTCGCGAACCTAAAGTTTCCGAAAGAATCGTTGTAGCCTAACCCTGAAAGGGTCTATCGATTACGCGTTAATTAAATTAAAAGACGACGATAGCTGGCTGTTAGAAAAATCCACGATCTAAGTTCTCGTTAATTCACGGTTAATTGGTTGGTCGAAATTTTTGGACCTGTAGATTTTGACACTTAGTTGTTTTATCAATCACTTGTTACTTTGGTTTATACTAACGCTGAGCGCACATCGCACGTGTCACTAACCTTGTAACTTATCGAAGATGAATCGACTGGAGCAGGAAGAGCACTTGACAACAACCAGATGTTATTTCAGGCTAAGCTTCACTCGACAGGGTTCAGGAGAGAATAAACGACCGCGCGACCTTTTTCACCGGTCCTTCTAATCCAATTCCCGTGTCTTCGATTTTTAACAGACCCACCGATTTTACCCTCTAGTCGAGTATCTGTCACAGGCGACGTCTCACTTAATGGTCAGTCTGTAAACACTAACAGTCACATTCTTTAAAACCGTTCGTTTACCGTCAACGCTTTTGGGCACGTTTCTGGTTTCTTTCTACTTTCAACTACTTCCGTCGATATTTAAATTATCCTAAAAAATAATCGTAATGGCGTTGAAAGAGAAGCTATTGCAATACGGTGCAAAGATATTAAAACAGAAGCCGTAGTAGCGGACGAAACACTGTGTATAGAGGAGAGCCTGCACGTTCTCGGGGACAAGTGAAAATACGTCGATCAAATCCCGCAAAATGACAATTTTACGACCTAATATCGCGCAGGCTACGACTATATTCTAACCAAGCAAGGGGAGCCAAGCAAGCACCAGCGTAGTAAACCGCAAGCCACGCAATGATACCATCGATAAAGACAAATCCTTCCTGCTTCGGAAACGATGAAGAGGTCGTCACGCGAAGGTCAACGTCTACTCCTGGCCAATTATCGCTAAGACAGAAGAAGATCGACAGCGTTCTTTCAAGAATCACGAAAGACAATTCGCTTAATTGTCCTTCAGAGACGCTGGTGTTCGTCGCCTTTTGCCCCCGACAGTTGCTTCTTCTGCCTTGATCGGACAAGAGAATGCAAGAAAAAGCAGTTGAACAGAAGGGGAGGAAGCTGGAGGCAAAAGAAAAGCAAGCTGAGAAACAGTCGAAGGCGCGCAACGCCGGAAATGGGCCATTAGTTTCGTGACGAGTATTCAACGCGACGGATTCTCGTCGCTCGGATGGAAATCCAACCGAATGGGTGCACATCGACCCGAGCTCGCTCCCTTTCTTCACTCCCTTCTTCCCGAGAGAAACAGCTTCTCGCCGGGTCGCAAACGACGGCTGCACGTTTACGATAGTATTTACGTTACTGGAGTGAGGCCAGGGTGGGGTTATGATAAATTTCCCGTGTACAAACTAATTTGAGGAAGCATAAACCCTTCCCCCGTGCGTCGTCGCGAACCTGCGCTTCGCCAAGGTGTAAGCAGAACCGTTTTGCCTGCAACATCTACGTGGAAGCTTGCCTCCCGGAGCTTTGATTCGCGAATTCAACTGAGAATTCATTTTATATCGCTGTACGTTTTACGCCGATTTCCAAGCTATCCTCGTTCGTGAATATTGAAACATCTGTTAATTTTTCATGTGTAACTGGCTCGCACTATCAAAGGAACGACTATGTAATCGGTCAGAATTATGCGAAGTTCGAAGCACGTAGGAAATATAATTCCAAAAGTCATTTATTTGTAATAGTTACGAGAAAATAATCCGAAAATTTCAATATCCACGATCTTTTAATTGAAGAAGTTTCAATGTAAAAAAGAATAAGAAGATAAATGTAAAGAATAATTAAGAAGTTTTAAGCAAATGATAATTGCAAAGTTTCTGATAAATTTCTAACGACTTTTTCGATTTCTGTAAGCGTCTTAATAGTCGCGAACGATGGCAACGTGTTAAGAACAAGCGTCGTCTCCTTTTTATGTTTAAACTACGAAATAAAACTGAATTTTTCAAGTTGATGTACTTTATGTTTTCTTTGTTTACTGTTGCGTTTTAACCGCTCCTGTTGCATTTTTCTATCGTTACCGTTGCTTTGTCTCTCTGTGGCTTTTCCTCTCTGTGTCTCTGCATCCCTTCCGTTTCCGGTTGTTTTCCCGTCTGGTCGCGTCAGAGGGTAAACCTGTATCCGAAATGGGAAACCGTTGCCAGGCTGGCGAGGGGAATGACACTATGGCGAAGAGGAACGAGGCAGTCGTTTTAAGATGGCAACCGCTTCAATTGTGCGAATTAACCTCTAACGAGAAATCTCGATTCCGGTGGAAAGTAGTGGAATAGCGTGGCTCACGAGCAACATCCTAACCTGCTATTTTCTCAACTGCCTCTTATCCGACGAAGGTGAAGTTCAATTAATTAAGGGTGGCTCGATAACCGAGTACGTTTGCGTTGCATTTTCCTTTAATTATTTCGGAACGTAACCCTCTGATTTAACTCGTATTTTATATCGCAGTGCGATATCTTTAATACATAAAATATGAAATACAAACTAAGGCGAAGTTTTCTGAAGTAAAATAAAATTTAGTCTTCGAATTGTTCGGAATCGCTTTCAGAAAATTTGCGATTGAGCGAGCGCACAAGCCAAAGAAATGAAACGCGACGTGCATAACGTTAAAATAAATATGTCGATATTCCAATCGCGATCGAATTGAAGCCGGCGTTCGATATGCTATCAAATCGAAGATATATCTATAATATAAGGATAGAGCAAAGGCGAAATTACATAACGCAAGAAGCGAGAAGGAACAGAATTGTAGATAATAAAGTTCTTACATTGTTTAATCGTTGAACGTTGAGAAACACCATCTTGTTAATTCGTTGATATAAATTGATTTACAAAGCATCGGATAGAATTGTCGATTCGTTATTTTAATCAAATGATATTTTTTAACGTTAGCTCAACTTTAGAAAACGATTAGTCTAAAATGGCAATTTTCAAGGGTAAGTTGATGCGCTTTCTACAGTATATTCTCAACGATTGCTCCGACTAAACTGTTCTTTAGCGTATCACTTCTTCTCATCGGATCAAAGGATATTCTTGTCTTGCGCGACGATAGAAAACTTGAAATAATAAGATGTATGAACGACATACGAATTCTTGGAAGTGCAACAAGAGGCATACAGTAGAACCAATTTCGATTCGTTACACGATACCTTACCTTCTACGAAAAGTACGGGTCCTTATCATTGACAGCTTGCAATTCGTAACGGAAAACACAAGGGGATAGGTAATGGCGCGCCGTGCCACGTCGCGGAATCTAATACAACCGATGACATAATACCACAAAAGGCAGTTGCACCGATAAAAGGACGGAAATATATCGTGTTTGCCGGCGACTAAAATACACCGAACAATTTATTCCATAGCTCTCTGATATCCTCTTACCGTGTCATCCATCGTGTAAGACATCCAAATTAGATTTGAAACTTCGATAAAAACGTCCAACGTGATATATCAATTTTGAACATTTTTAAACCACGGTCATATTAAAAGCACCAAGCATACGATATTTTTTATCGTCACCGACATGCAAAGGAAAGTTCGATTAACCGCAAACAACCGTTTCCTCGAATATTTCACGAAAGCTGATTTCCCAGGACGATCGACCGACTGCGTACAATAATGTTTTACAACATCGCGGCTAGAGGCACGGATCGCTCGGGTTAAACTGAGAGATAATTGTCCGCTATCAGCTGACCCTTGTCGTCCATCCAGTCCCCTTCCATCGTCTGCCGCGCCTCAGCCACTTCCCTCTCACTCTGTCGGTTTCGATGCAACGAAGCTCGCCAAGTTAAACGCATGTTTGCCACTACAGCGATCGACAAAAGGCATTTTGTCGCGAAACTTCTAAAGAGAGAGGGAGAAAGACAGACAGACAGAGAGAGAGAGAGAGAGAGAGAGAGAGAGAATCGAGTTGACAGCCAGGGACAAACAGGTCTGTGCGCTAATCACAACGCGTGCAACTCACCAGATACGTGTACTAATATCGCGTTAATAAGGATCATTACGGCGCATAATCTCGATATAGTATGATGACAATAGTACGGAATATGTTGGAATACATCGATCCTATTGTGAGAGTAGAAACTAAGATAAGGGCAGAGATACATTTTATAATTTTGCATGACTAAATTAATGACTCATCGTACGTGTAACAATGAACAGATAGCTTCAATATGAAACTGATTGATGAAAAGAAAAAAAAGAGGCATAGGTTACATATTAAAGGTAGAAAAATAATTTTGGTTCGTTAGCGCGCCTCTTATCGTCACGAAAGGGGATTATTTTACTTTGGGAAAAAAATTCAAATTCAACGGAATACCGATCGAATCGACGTTTGGGAAATCACGATGATACCGTCGCGTCTCCCTTCGAACTTCACCGATTTTAATTTGAAATTCACGAAGGATCTATATAATGGTCAGTCAACTGACAAAAATTCCGATCGCAGGAAAATTCGATTCCTCGTACACGACACATCGGCTGTCTACTATATTCGAGCGAATTTTTCCGTTCGTTCCAATTATCGGCCGCGTCTAATGAGCGAGCGTCATCGGGGAAGCAACCGGCGGAATCGTCGAAAAAGCCATTGGCTATTTAAAAAAAAAATCCGATTTTTCTTCAAGGTTTTGTAACGGATCACCTGGCGGTGTGCGGCTAATTCGACGCTTTTCGTTTCAATTAATTCCACGCGCGTTTCACATCCACTTTCCCCAGGCGGTCTTTCCGTGAAAATCACTTGGCAGGATTTGGGAATCGATAAAAAAGACAGGGGAGAGTTTCTGTGCTTAGCGATGGTCATAAATTTAACGTCAACCAGGTTCGCTATCGTTTCCTCCTTTCTTTGGTCCGCGAATCGTGGCCGATCGACCGACAGTTTTTTACGATCTAAACCTAACCTAAACCGCGCCGGATAAAAAGCGTTCCTGATGTAAAGAGTTCTAAGTAAGTATCTATCTTCTTGCAAGCACGTTCCCTACCGGGTAGTACCGATCTGTTGGCTCATTGAAAAATCTGACGCTGAAAAATCGTCGACGAACGCTTGCTAATGGAAAGCCGGTAGCCAGAGGATGATAAAGTTTCATCCCTTACGACGTACAACATCCCCTTTTCTCGTTGCTAATTGACCAAGGGTTTATCGTACTTGAAACATCAAGCTTTTTCTCTATAGAATCAGAAATCGATTAAAGAGAATTCCTTCGCCAATCTCTCCATTTGTTCTGCCATTTGATTTCATATGCCATTCGTATCCGCGATATCGTTCGTCATTGCAAAATGTTAATGGGTTGTTGCTCTCCAATTATATCCTCGTCTTACGTTTGCAATGCCGGCGGAGGCGTGCTTAAAGAGGCGGATAATTTAAAAGCAGAGCAGCGAAGGAACGAGGAAGCGGAGTTACATTGCGAAGAAAATTACGTTCATGGAAAATGCTTTGGGTTTCCTTAAAGCGGAGTACATTCGAAAAATTACGATCTTTCGCGGATCTCTTCTCGCACGGCGGTCTAATGACACGGTTAAAAATATTACGTTGGCCGGACGGAACTGCATTTCTAATCTGAAACTCTTCTCTAATTTCGCCAACTCTGTAACCACTGTAAAGGAAACTTTTATGTATGCGCATGTGATATGTATCGCATAAAACGTTTTTAAATTTTACCAACACCAACGAGACACGACCGTCCCCATTAAATTGGCAAAGTTTCGAACGATTCTGGAAGTCTATGCAGAGGTTGCAAGACATTTACTGGGAACGTACGCAACGGACACGTAACACGGAACGTTTCTAGGCGTCTCGTCTTATGCATTCGCGAACGGTTTCTGCCAAGTGTTCGGATATTTTCGTAACCTGCTGTATGTATACTCGAACTATCCCATAATCTGCCTACTGCAAAGGTATCATCGCGCTCTCCAAATATGTACAAATAATTTCAGCAGGTGAAAGAAACGGAAGGAGCGCGAACTCAGCGGAAAAAGGGGAGGGGGCGATATCATTAGCGTTTCACGAGTTTGGTTTTAAAAGAAAATCGTAACGACGCGCTGCAAGGGACGCAGCACTCGATCCACCGATTAATTCCAAGCTTTAGCTACATCGCCGGCTAAATTGCCGTAGTCTCTCGCGGCGTCGTTTTTCGCGCTTCCCTTCTCCGCCCCCATCGGCCACCCTTACCGCCCGCCGCGTTCCGAATATCGCGCGCGTAGCTTTCTTTTTTTGCCGGATTTTGCCGGAGGATATCGACAGGAAACGACGAACAGGAAACGGAGCGAGCGAAACGAGAGAAAGGAAAGGCTGTGAAAGGGAGTCGAAAAACGGGGGCGTAAGGGTGCAATGAGCACTGGCGAGAGGCAGTGGGTGGGGGGTGGACGATGGAAAATGAGCGGAGAAAGGGTCGACGACGACGACGACGGCGACGATGAGGTTTGCGCGTGTTGGTACTGCGATACGGCGAAAGAGAGCAAGAGAGCCGGCTCTTCGACTCGGTATTGGTGTGTCCGGGGGGGAGGGGAGGGGTGGTATTGTCTCAGTGATTATTTATGGCGAATTTTAAGCCCCTAAGTGTGGCTGCTGTAATAATTAACAAAAGGCATTATGCCACGGAGAACGAACCGGCTTTTCCCTCTCCGTTACCCTAGCGCAGCGCTATTTATATACACGGTGGGACGCGAAGGTGGTTCTGGGGTTCGTTCGCATCGTTCGTTCGCCAGGAGAGATAACACCTGGGACCCCGACACTCGATTGCCCAGGGCTCATTTACTAATGAGTACGTCCCTATAACATGCACGAGAGTAATGCGACTTCTTTTTCGTTTCTAGTTCGCTACATACTGCGAGTTTGCGTGTGCCCGACGCACACCGAGGTAGAGGCAGGCGAGTTTGCGCGAGTGACTGCAGGGGTTGGATTCTCCGAGAGAGAAACAGAGGCGTGCGTCGCACTTCTGCAACGTATGCGTCTCCTGCACTCCTTTGGTCGGCGATTCGTCACGAAAGAAGAACGTAAGCCGGATGACTCTGCGCGGCCAACGGGTGGCCTATTCATCCGATGCCACTCGAGAGCGGAGACCCTTTTTTCTTTCGTATAAGCTTCCTTGACAACGAACAGACACGGACGACGCGGCCCTCTGTTTCTCAAGTCGCGACTGAGAGATCAAGTTGTCATTATCCTAAATTCCGTGTGTGACACTACTCGAATTTAATTGTCTCCGTGCTCTTAATTCTTTCGACAGTCTATCACCGTGTCAAGATTTTGGCAAACGTTTCGGTGTACGAGCGACAGCGCAATACGGAAGATACGTTGATGAAAATAGGCGTTAAGCAATACGAAATGAGACACGTGGTTCTCTCTGCAACGTTAACGAGATTAATAATTGTACCGTCGAACCGCTAATTGATTTTAATCACAGGAATAGCTTGTTTTTTCCCCTTCGGCGCCTATGTCGTGGCAACGATTCGAGGATGGCGCGCGTCGATTAAGGAAGACGCGTTTCTTTCGTTACCATTACGCAGTTCGTACCTTCCCTTCTTAGTATCGCGGGTTATAGGTCGTGAACAACAGCCGGAGACATGTGGGGGGTTAATGGTTGAAATTTAGAACAGTTTAAGTGGTATACGGTGGCGTTTTAATTGACAGTCTGGTTAGGTCATCGCGGTTCTCTCGTATCGTCGTCGTAACACATGGACGAACGGGCGGACACGAACGCCGGAGATATAGAGAAGGTTTTAACACCACGTGGGGAGCAACTTTATGGGAACCGGAGCATGCCAGGGGCGTGTGTGCGTCCTCCCGATACGCGTCTCACACGCCATCCTCTTTTTCCTTTCTCTACGTCCCATTGAACAGTTCCACTCTCGCTCAAAATTCACCGAGCTACCACCCGATTTTCCGAAGATTGCTTTTTTAATGTATGCATTAAAAATGCTTCGTTATGCATGCACCTTCGAAATATGCCATACTTTATTAGACAGTTTAACAGTGCCGCGAGAATTTTTCTTTTTCGTTTGTGCTCGATAAATGCGGACGTATGGAACTATGGCTACAGTGGATACGTTTGGAAATTGAAATATCATTCGTAAGAATCTATGTACGAAGATCGTAGGAAAGAAAGACGTTAAGTATATATTTGCAGCATTTTTTGATCTGAACGTCGCTCTACGATACAACAGGAGAATTTTAATACGACGTAATTATTAATTCTATAAAATAATAATTCTCTAATAATAATAATTATTAATTCTATAAAAGTAGTCGCAGAGGAACTACAATCTGATCGTTGCTTTTCCAAATATCGAATTATATTTTTGAACCCATCCAGAGTCCAATCAATCTTTTCGTGGACCAATTTATTTACCAATATATATATTTGATCGTGACATTATTTTCCGTTATTCAAATGCAAGAGAAATTTCAAAATGTTTGATATAACACATGAATGAGTTGTATGGTGAGCGTTCAAATATTTTCGTCAGCCACTATATTTGAGCCTTCTGACGCGCTCGTCAGAGCACTCGTACATTCTAGTCATAATCTAACGTGCGAGTAAAATAAACCAGGGACCGCGAGAGACCAATGTACAATCGATAAAGCAAAGATGCCAATTAAGGCGAGACGCGAATTAATCGCCGCTCCAATTAGGCTGGTTGATGAAATGTACGTTACCTTGCCACCGGTTCCTACAGCTCTATCTTCTTGCAATCAGCAATCAATGTGGAAAACAGACGATCTATCTGCGTGAACGCTCTTTATTTTTGAATTCGGTCAATTACGGGATAGAGGCCAGAGTCGAAGCTTATCTCGAGGCGCACTTGTATCAGTTTATCTCGTTTAACTCAACACAAACTCCTCCAATTAGGAAGGCCGAATCCCTGTTACACGATGGGTATCTGAACTGTTGCGCGGACGTACGAGAACTGAATCGAATCACGGACGAGTCCCCCCTCTGCAAACACCACCACTCACGACGAGCACAGCCGAAATGGTCCGAAACTTATCGAGCGACATCGCGGAGACATCCGAGGCGATCTTCGTCGGTGACGTCTCAGGATGCATTCGATCACTCCCATCCCTTGGAAAAATCGTCTCGACACCCATCGTTCGACTCACCCTTCCTCGCGTCTTTCCCTTCTCTTCTCTTTCGAGGTATGGGATGGATGAAAAATTTGCGTCCGCCGAGAATACGAGTACCGAAAAATTGATCACGATGCCATATTTCATATTTTGAATTGTTGCGGCCGCGTTTGTACGGTGCGAGCCGCGAGATGGAAAAATTTCAATTCAATCGAGCCCGATTTAAATGAAATTCTTCCGATACCGAGTCGTTAGTCGTACGTGCAGCTCGGAATCGATACGCTTCGAATATTCGCTGGAATTAGGGGGTTTTTCATAATTTTCAATAGACGATCGATCAGCGTATAGAGGGGACCCGGTATTCCAATGTGGTTCCCGGTGAATTTCACTCGTACGTCTTGAATTTTATCATCTTCAGATTTGTATAGGCAAGAGGGAAATTGCACGTATATGTGGGGCTATGGATATGGCGGAACCGTTCTCCGACCAACTAACGTTCCGACGAATACGTCGCAATGATCAAATAAAATTCTTCCTTGCTATCGAAAACTTTTACGCGCATATCGTACGTGTTGTATAATACATTTTGAAACTCCGTTAATTAACATTACGTCGGCGAAATGAAATCAATCCGAAGATCTACACAGATGTTACGAGACCAGGCGCTGAAAACATATTCACATGGATTCTTACGAAAGTAGATACGTCGTTCTACAGATGTTTTATTGGTCAGAGCAGGTTGCAAGCATAGTCTAACCGATGCAATGCATTAGAAAGCAAATGCGTGTTACAGAGCAACTAATTGTGAGTTCGACGAACGATCGCGAAGCGGGATAATAAATTCGGTACCTCTTCTGTTCGAATAAACAAAATTTATTTAGGGACAGGCGGCACAGCTGCTGGACAATCGCTGGGATCGCACGATCGGGAATTATTAATTTCGCTCACGCATCCAGCCAACTCGTGCTCACGATCGGAAACCTTCGATTCCAGTCACGCGAGAAACTCTCGTGCTTATTTCTAATTTAAGCCCGACTTTAGCCTAATGAAGTCGAAGAACTCTGTTTAATACGCTTTTGCGCGACGACTCTCCTCAACTTGCGAGGAACGGATCTCGGCACATTGATAAGTGTCGACTATCGTTTTACGATATCAGTATATTATACTTTGTCGTAGTATATTAAAATTTACAACGAAGCTCGTATTGGAACATATACGAGCGTTTTGTATCGCTTTGTAATTTACGCTCGTATACGCAGAGTTAACCTCGGATAGTTTAATCGAAGGATGAAATCTGTCGACGAAATTCCATCGCGAAATCATGGGCCGGCTGACGGACTTAATCATTCGTGAGTCAGAACGAGCACGAGGGAGACTGGTTGCGTGGCACGTTGGTAGATTCGTGTGCCGGTTGTTCGTAACGCGTCTCGTAGCTTCAAAGCTGCCTAGGGTCAAACGGGGTCGTCGAGCAAGAGCAGCTCGTAGCAAATTCATTAGTCACCACAGAACAGACTGTTCGTCGTTCTACGAGCGAGTCCTCTCTGGCAGCGGTGTACGGACACTGGTTCCGAAACGGGCGGGGTGACAGTTTCCGTTCGAATCAAAAGGAAACTAGTTCGGCTAAGGGTTACTAGTCGATGCTTGGCATTTCCGGACGGTTTTTTCCCAGCCACCACACGATTCTCCTTTATCGGTCATGGGGACTGGTGGTAGTACGAAAGACTCGCGTTTCCCGTGAGAGGAATTCCAGCAGACAGACTGTAAAAGGGGGAGAATTACGTTTAAAAAAAAGAAAGAAAGAAAGAAAGAAAGAAAAACCTCGATGTAACCGAACACGATATCGATATATAGGTCGTTGGTTAGGAGGAAGCTGGTTTCGTTAAAATCCCGATACGTAAAATAAACGAATGGAAAGGGGCGCAGAATGGTCAGAGTGTCCTAGAAACCTCGTTCCGTTGTGAAATACTTTCGCTAACGATCTAACCAGCCGCGTCGAGCGGAATTATCATTAACTCCGGTACGCGACAAGAGCGCAGAACTCGAACTGGATTATCAGCTTTTTCCCACGGAAAAGGGGGATCATACGGTAATAGCGGGCGTCTAATTACCAGAGGCGAGTCCTCGTAAGCTTTCGCGTCGAGGGAGAGGAACTGTCGCTCGTCGAGCCGTAACACTGGGGTCAGAGAGGAACATTGGAAAGAGAGAAATAGGTAAAAGGGAAGGGAAGAGTAGACGAGGGAAAGAGAGGAGGAGGAGGTGGTGGTGGTGCTGGTTGTGCCTCTGCCGTGGCGCATATGGAACTTAGACCCCTGAATGCTTGTGCCAGGCTCTCAGAGAGACAGAGAAAGAAAGAGACTCGCGCGGAAAGCTCGGCTCGGCTCGGCCTTTTGTGAAAGAGGGTCTTTTGTCGTGGCGACAAAGCCCGAAGAATATCCATCCTTCAAATGTGGAACAGCTGCCATCGAATGGCCCCGGCCGCCTTTTTTAGAGTCCCGTGCACACACCGCATGTACACGCTGCGATGTGTGTACAGGGCTTTAAGCGAAGAGAGACGAACAGACAGACGGACGAACGGACGGGTGCAGAGGGGGCCATCGAGCGACAGGGAACAGCGGAGAAAAGTGGATAAGAGCGAGAGAAATAGGAGACGAGAGGCGGTCGGAAAATACCGTGAAAGAGTGAAAAAAAGAAAGAAAGGGGAAGGTAAAAAGGGGGATAGGATCCAAGGGACGGAGAAAGAGAGGACCACAATGTTTCGAAGTGGCGAGATTCGCTGCTGGTTTGTCTTTGAAGCGACCTATACAGGCTTTCTGCGTACTTCAGAGCCTCGTCGTAGTTATCTTCATAGTCATCGTCATCTTCATCGTTGTCGTCGTCGTCGTCGCGAGCCATGTATCCGCTACACACTGACTGAAGAACAACCAGTCGCACCAACCGAACAAAAACGTCTACGAGGGCGCGTTAATGCGTTCCAAATGCATAACTGCGTGCGCGACGTTCCAACACAGTCACACCACAAAATGGAATACGCGATAAAGCAATAACCGTGCGGTCGATTCGCCGCCAAGCGTCGACAACCTCGAGAGAAAGAGAGAAAGGGAGAACGATTTCAGAGACCGCGGTCATTAACGCTGCAATTGCATAATTCGCGGGATGCATTCGCGCTCCACTTCCTTTCTCTCCGTCATTCTTACCACCAGAGAGAAAAATGGATGACATCGATGGCGACGCGTACGATCGTCCACCGATTACCGAGCGATTCGGTTTTCTCGTGGCGTTTCACCTATCGGCGCGCTGACGTTCGTTCAATCGAGATGCGTAAATCAGCCGTGCTAAAACCACCAGAGAACGGAAATAGAAAGTCATGTTACAGGGTCGAGATTTATAGGAGCGCAAGTTCGCTTTGATTTGAGGAAAATGCAGTTGGCACGAACCGCTTGGTCTGGTCCGAGAATATCGTCAAGTAGCCTAGAAGGCGCGGTTATTCGAACCATGTATCCGCAAAAGAGACTAACAAGATTTATCGAAACGCATTCTTACTCCACGACTTCTATGTAACATAATTTCTATAACAAAGTTGTTTGACAAAGCAACGATTCGGTTGCACAATTGCTTGGCTTCGTATCGCGCGTCTGGCTATTTCAAAAGTGTCGCGACTCGAAATAATTCGCTCCTGTTGAAGGAACATCGAACCCTATCAACGGAGGATTCCAAAGGATAAAAACGAAAACGTCACGAAAATATAAATTCGCCATTATTTTCTACGCTCGATGATTTACGCGTGTTTTAAACGATTTCAACCACCGGATAGATTTTCCTATTTTTCTGAAAAACTTGCCACTCGCGTTACTTTTACAACACACGTACGATACTTCGAAACGTTTACAGGCCATGGCCACGGCGTTTCCACCTCCGGACGGAATATTAGCTTTACGATCCTCGGACTCCGAGTAACGAGATAAGATGGCGTAAAAGTTTCCTCAAGTTCGAGTAATTAAAACGGGTCTTCGCTCAGGTTCGGCGTGAAACACGATTAGAGAAGTAAACCTAAAGGGGGACGGAGAGAATGGACGATGTCAGCAAAAGGTGCGAGAGAACGGATCAGACGCGAGGAGAATGTATCCTTAACGAGCCGGTGCAAATAAGAGCAGCATTCGAATAATGCGTTCTGGTAGCGTGTTCTCGGTTAGGTTTTGGAGGGGTGCATCGCTGAAATAGCGATTAAGTCGCGTGATTTTGGGCGGCTAGCTTAGCTGCAGTTTGTAACAAAGTTGGAGGAAAAGAGAAGTGGGCGGTGGGGGAAAGGCGGCGACGGAGGTAGTGGAGGAGGCGGTCGTGGCTGCGGGTAGACGTCGGAATCTGAGCGGCTGGTGGGAAGTTCCGAAACGCCGGATGGAAATGCCTCGGTCGGATTAGCCCCTACTGGCCGATTGTTCGCCCCGGTGTCGGCCGCCTAATGTGGACTGCACTCGTGCCACGAGGGGGATTTCCTGTCTGCGCGCGTTCCTACGCGCTTCCAGCTATATAATCCTGTCCTGCCCCTTCGCAATCGGCCGACGTTACGACCCTGCTGCACGTCCGAGAACGTGACCGTACAATTAAGCGGTCGACTCGAATGGAATTAAGTTGGGAAAGTAGGATGCGTTTAATGGGGACCGATGATACGCGCCCCCGATGCTAACATCGGCACGATTCTTTTCTTTCACCTTCGCGATATCCTTCTATTCCTTTTTCTGCTCCCTCTGTGTAATACAGGGTGTCCTTGTAATCGTGCTGCGAGAGAGCCAGTAACGACGCGTTGCGGAAGAGTGAGTTGAGAAAGTGGGAGAAAACTTTGCGCGACGTAAGATCTCATCTTCGAGGAGAAACAAATTTAGAAGTAGAAACAGGTATACATCGCTGGTAAATTACGATTCCACGTACTTCTGTTTCTGTCTGAAGTAGTCGTAAGTTTTTACAAGGCAGCGGTTTTTAAGATTTAGTAATTCGTCGATTAATCGTACGTTAGAAAAATTGTACTTTCGTCCGGTTTCGCGGGTTTATAAATTTCGTCGTAATTTGAAAAATATTCCCTTCTCTTTTTCGAATACTTTGACTCTGCTTGCACCACGAATTTAGGCACTGTGTTATTAAGTTAAGCTGTGTATTCGTGTTTGTTCGTCGGTTCGTAAAACGGCGCCTGGATGCATCGCCGTTCGTATTACTTCGAGTGTCTCCTTCTTCTGGCGGTGTAATTTTTCTGTACTAATGGAGTCTACGCTTTCACGAGAAGTAGTTTCGCCGTGATATATGTGTGTCGAGAAATTTCACGTTCGGAGAATTTTAAAACGTCGATAAGAAGGAAGGTATTTGTAGGATCGACACGTCATCGGGGAAAATATCGACGGTACGAGTCTGAAAGTGCTGCAGCGGGTGAATGAGACTGAACGTGACGCACTGGCCAAAGGAAACGACAAATTAACCGTGGCATGGTACCTCCATGACTTTCATTCTCTGTCTCGTTGCTCGGGAATACCTCTCATTGTCGCGTTATTAATTTATTATGTACATTGGTGTCACGCAGGCGCCCAGAGGACATAAAGGGACGGAACGAAAAAT